ATTCTGGAAGATAGTCTAACTCCTTTTTTATTAGAAATAATCCGAGGAAGGTTGTCATATTTAGTAAATAGATTTTGCTTATATATATTGTCTAGGAATTGTAAATATTCCAGTGGCGCATCTCGGAGATTAAATCTGAAGGGTAGTGACGATATTTTTAAATAAAGTACTGCATTTACATTAAATTTTTGCTGTAAGGTATTATGACTGTGGAAAAAATATACTAGGATTGGTTTGAATTTCCCATTTTTTTGTGGCATTATTAACTTTTTTAGACAATTTTAATTTACATCACATTTTATCTTATTAATATAATATTAAGAGCAATATAAATAGGCGCATATATACGGGGGCTCCTTCACCTATATGCACCCCTGGGGCATCTTAATATTTTTTCAAATGCCAGAAAAACACACACTCAAAAACATTTTTTTTAAAGAAAAAACAAAAAAAAATTTTGAAACATTTACTTACTAGAGTATAATAATTTAGTAAGCTTTGTTGCAAATTAAAACTGATTTATCCATAAATACATGTATATATTTATTTAGTTAAGTTTTATAAAAAATTGATAGGAAAAATTAGCAGCTCCAAGCATTAATTTTCAAATCTTTTAAAGATGGTTTTTAAATATGGTAACTGGTAGGTTTGTTCCAGCATAGTAGAGAAGCGCAGTACAGAAAAAGCCTTCCATCAAAGAGATAATGGTTTAGTGACCGATAACATTTGCCAACTGCGTTCCAACTAGATTTGTAATTTCGTTACTAAACCTTATTCGGAACGGTAGTTTCGATACCAGCCTTAAAAGAAATAATCAAAAGAACTGATAAGCTGCGTATTTGAACTGTGTGAGCTGATTATTATTGTTCTTTTTAATTTCTTTTTTGCTATTTTCTGTTTTTAATTTGTTGGATTCCTCAAGTTTCATTTGGTATTTATATCGTTTTTATAAATATATGATCAGATTGATCAGTGACGAAGAGGACAGTGGTATTAAGTAGGTATATGGATACTGAAGAGGGATATTAAACTTTTAACGAAATAAAGCAAAAGTTTATTTCGTATTAATTACAAAATAAATAAATTCAATAATCCAATATTTCTAGAAGAAACACGACTATTTACATCAATATATTTAATACGTTATTATATTTATCTTATATTATTTGAGGTATAGCAACTTTATTACTGCTTTAAATATTTTGTTAAGAAAAACAAAGTTATTAATATACCTATCTATAGGCTTGGTGTATTTCCAGCGATTTCAACAAGTTCCGACTGCAGCGCTTCAACGGCAGAAATAAAAAATTATCAGTATATGTATTTGGGTACTAGTTGTTTACGATATTCTCCGATGGTAGCAGCACTGGCGGAGAATGCACCAATTCCATACAAGCTGTAATAAAAACACAATGAGACGTTTCAGTCGTTCGAAATAAGGAATTGCAAAGAGTTTTAAAAACACATTAATTTTAATAACTTTCTTCACGTATACGAATACTATTTACAGGCAGAAATAAACGTCAATTAACTCTTATTTTACTTAATTTTTGCGAGAACAATATTTTACAAATGCTAAATACTAGAATTCATATTATAATACATTTATTAAATACCTTACAAAACATCGAAGTTAAAGCTTAATAATATCAGTTCTTTTTAAGTGAAAAAATAACTTTGTTGGCGACGTGAAAAATATACATTGACATAATAATATGAAGATTACTTTGGAAGATTACAGCTAAATTTCATAAACGCCTGTTTTATATTTTAAGTCTTTCAAACTATATTGAAAATATTCTCAGGTATACGTGGTACACCCTAACTCCCCCTTATTGTATTGTTTCTTCAAAAATCCATCAACTGGTAACTTCCTTTATCTTTCATAACATGAAGCGGTGATAATTTGCTCTAGAACCTGCAAAAAATATGATTAAAAAAATATTTTTTTTGATAAAATTAATTTTAGACATTAAGCATTAATAATTATACTGACCTAGCTATTTTCTGCTAAGATGCGCGGACAATCTTCATAAAAAATTTCTCTACATTCTGTTGATAAATATCAATATAATTATGTACGAAACCAGTAGTAGAAAAGTTAGTGGTCATTTCGTTAATTGTACAAAGTTTAGGATACACTAATGTAAAAATAATGTCTTGAATTAAGAGTACTGTCTTAAAAGAAGCATATGACATTCATATATGTCGATTAAATTAAGGGATTATCGAAAAGAAAAATCAGGATTTGTCAAATGTATAGAGGTACCCGTGAACAAATAAGCAATGTGCAACAACTGATAGCAGGGAATTTAACGTACCGGCGGTACCGGCTATCATTTGCTTTATTGACTACAAAAAGGAATTTGATTGCGTTACATGGATCAAACTCTGGATGATTTTAAGAGAAATGAGGGTACCTGAACATCTTACATCTTGTAGCATTGATCGAGGCTTATACATATACTAGCAACACAGCAATGCTAAATGTGGATGAACAGATCTCTGAACACTTTCAAACACATAAAGGCTGACAGGGTTGTATACTCTCACCCATCCTCTTTAACATATATGGGGAATATAATATGCAAGGAGCTCTGGAAGACTGTGATGGAGGCATTAGTGTAGGAGGAGCTAAAATAAACAACTTGCGATTTGCAGACGACACAACATTAATTGCGACCTGTAAAGAACAAACCAAACCAAATTAGTCTACTCTTGTGCGTAGAAAATGAAAGTGCTGAGATGGGACTAACTATCGACAGCCAAAAAAACAAATTAATATTGGAGGACAGAGATAAAACCTTAAAAGATCTTTTCAGCTTAATGACATCGAGGTGGTTCATGATTTTTTTTATATCGGGTTAAACATAAACGAAGAAAGCAATTAAGAAAAATAAAGTAAGTAAAATAGAAATTAGACGCAGAATACAGTTAGCAAAAACTGCCACAACGCATCTTACAAGAATATAACAGAGCAGAGTAAGAACAACCCACACAAAAAAAATTTTGCTGCATACAATTGCTTTCTCAATATTTCTTTGTGGAGTGGTATCTTGAACGAACAAACCATTGGAAAAACTGCTACAGACGTATGTTGAGAATACCTTGGGCAGCTAGAAGAACCAATATGTCAATAATAAATGATCTTAACATAAGTATCCTACTGCCAGCTATCTGCCAAAAACGCATCCTCGAGTACTTTGGACACATTACTCGAAGGCCTGCCGACAACATGGAAAAAATTATCATAACTGGTGATGTCCAAGGAAAAAGAATATAGAGGTCGATACCAAACAACGGCTACCCCTACCCCCTACCCCTATACTCAAATATCCATCGAGCTGAAGGCAGATTAGCCTGAAAAGAATTATCTAAAACTTATCAAACAAAAACTATTCTCATAGAAGACACGACCCAGGCTTCTTTGCAAATTTGCTATATGCAAGTAACTGTCAGTGAGGCAAAATTAAAAATTTGTTTTCTATCAAAATAACTACACATCTGTAAACTATCCAGCGTCTATAAAGTAGCCAAGTAAACACTTTAAGATAAACTTAGTTTACCAATACTGCCTCCAATATTTCTATAAGAACTTGTCAATAAATATAAATATACCACTAGTTTTTTCAGTATTGGAGAAATTAATGGTAAATCACGTGCATTCGTAATATTGTTAACAACTGTAGAATTTTGCTGAACAGAATCACCTGTCCTTTTACATAGTTCCTTACAATTGAACATATTCTATGAAGTATAATGTTGAGTAAGACATACAGTTTCTTTTATTTAAAAAAAAAATAATTTATCATTGGCGTAACAAGACATGGGCTGACAGATCGTCACTATTCGTGTTAACTACTATTATCCACGGCTCGTCTATAAATTTCATTATTATACATGAGTTTATGAAATAATAATAATATTCATTATTCACTTGTGAATAATGGTTTCACCGCTTCCACGGATATCCAAACACCAAACAAGAGCTATTTGAAGTTTTCAATGTCACTTTTTGCATTCATCTATGGGGTGTTTCAAAAGTTGTTTTTTCTTTTCACGAAATTTTTAAAATATTTTTTGCTCCTTAAACATTTTCTTTTATTATATCTCGCCATGTAAACAAATTATTAAACACCATTATGAAGAAACAATGTTAAAATTCCCTCTACTCTAAAATCCGATTTAAAAATTTGAAGTTTTTAATGTCACATTTTGCATTCATCTATGGGGTGTTCCAAAAGTTGTTTTTTTTTTATATTTTCTTGTCATAAGATTTTAAAAATATTTTTTCCTTTTTAATAAGTCTCTCACGTTATGTCTCGACATGTAAACAAATTATTAAACACCATTAAGAAGAAACAATGTTAAAATTAATAAAATTCCCTCATTTTCTAACCCTAAAATTCGATTTAACAATTTGAAGTTTTAAATGTCACTTTTTGCATTCTAAAATTCGATTTAAAAATTTTAAGTTTTCCATGTTATTTTTTGCATTCATCTATGGGGGGTTTCAAAAGTTGTTTTTTAAAAATAAAAACATATTAATATCTAAATATTTTTGATAGTCCTGGATAAAGTATAGTATTCTACTCGCATATAATGGCTGTTATTCACGCGGATGAAGTTTATGACACGAGCCGCAGGCGAAACCAAACCAAACCATTATATGCTCTTTGAATAATATACTAATTTAAACATCGGTTTACAAATTTCTAACCTGGTTAAACCTCCTTAGTTAATTAGGTTAGCCACTAGGTTTTTAGACTACAGTTTTCCTTGAATAAATGCATAATTCTCATGGGAATAAAAAAAATATAAAATTTTTAACTCTCAACTATATAAAACATTAAATTATAGAAAAAAATTGAGGGATCTCCCTTCCCTAACTATAAGTTATTAATAGTTCCCTAGTTGTTTTCTCTAAGAAATTATACTAATAATCCTCATATAGGTAGTACTGTTTGAATTCAAAAATTTTCATAATTACCTAGTTTTTTTGCATCACAACGTGGAAGGATAGCTATTGAAATCGGAGTATTTAATTCCATCTTGGCAAAAATAGTCTGTCCCATATACAGGTGATGTGCTGTGATATGTATACGAAGTTTGCGTTTGTGACATACCATAAACTGATGTGGATGGCTCCGGGCACTTTTTTTCTGGTTCCAATTTATCGGACTTTTGGCGTTTGTTTTTGTATCTAAAAAATATTAGTTTATTTAAATAAAATTAACATACTTCACGATTAAACTCTCTCTTATGATAAAGAGGTGCTGGATTTTGAGAGTTAAAGAAATTTTAATGTACTTTTTGTACTATAGGAACTGTTTCTGTCATCAGCAAGCAAGCTTGATTATGAAACTTTTATCATACTTAACAATGACTAAAAAGTAAATATAGTAGTTCAGGTTGGATAGTCCAGGCCTGATATCTGGTTTTTATAGGTTTTTATAGGTTTTTATAGGTTTTTATAGGTTTTTATTCAAGTTTGTGGAAATTAAGGTCAAGTGAGCTTTGAGATCCGGACAATATCCGACAGAAAAATAAGTTATGAATTTGGTTATGTAAAGTCTGGATAAATAGGAGAATATCTGAGAGTAAAACTTGTTGTCTGTCATTTTAATTCACAGGAGAATTGTATTTTCTATCATTTGTTGGATATCGTCGTATATTCATCCCTGTTTCGTTGGACAAACCGACAGAAGTTTAAAGGGGAAATTAAAGGCAGTGAAAAAGCCTTAGGGCTCAAACGCACCGACGACCAGGTCGCAGCGACCAGCATTTGATTCATTGTTATTACTGGTCGCAGTCGCAACTGCGTTTCCTAATAACACTGAATCAAATGCTGGTCGTTGCGACCTGGTCGTCAGTGCGTTTGAGCCCTTAAGTATACTCTATTGTCTTTGTGAGCAGTCCTAAGATTTTATAAGAATAAGAGAGCATGTGTCAGAATAATATAGAGAAAGTGAAAAAATCATATGAACGTATCAAAATTAAAATTACAAAAAATGTATTTTCTCTTACCGTCTGTTCTGGAACCAGATTTTCACTTGCGTCGGTGTCAGCTTTAACCCTTGCGCCAAATGCTCCCTCTCGGGGGCGGACAGGTATTTCTGTTGCTTAAACTTCTGCTCTAACTCGTATACTTGGGCTTGGGAAAACAAAACTCGCGGTTTTCTCTTGGACCGCTGCCTACCGGATTTCCGCAACTCTGTCCTGGAGCTAGTCACTTGTTGCTCTGGAAACAAATATGGAGGTAAGTTTCTTATCATGAACAACCATACAGTTTTTTTCTTAATGTTGCTTCAACAAATAGCATCGATAAATATCGCACCAAAATAATTTAACTTTCGAAATATGTAATACCAGTTACATTATGGAAATCCTAGAGTAGGTACCTAATATTTTTGAAAATAACCCGGTATGATCACTATGATCAGTATAAAGTTACTTTGAATATGGTAGACAATGATTCAGTATTGAAACTAAAAGAAATTCGTACTTCCATTGCCTTTATTTATTTTGCTTACACAACGTTTCGATCAGAAGTATCAGTGACCGTTATCAAGTGTGAGCTTGCTAAGCATTTAGGTTAAAGAAATGGCTAGAAAAAAAAGAAGATCAATTGAATGATTTGACTTATGTCTCTCTAAACCCGATTAGTTTGCTATTAAGCTCAAACTCTACAAAAATAACATCAAACTCTATCACATTGCTGCACAATGTTTAGTATCTTTTTTTACAACTTTAGTATCCTAAACATTGTGCAGGAAAATTTTCTTTTTAAAAAAAAAATATTACAATTATTGAAGAAATACAACACCATTACCCTACTCAACATCTCAGATACAGTGCATCTATTTTAATTTTCTATTTTCAGAAATTTATGGTGTCCACTACATCCTGTCTCCATACACGATTCTAGAAACAATACCGTATTATCTGTTCCGAAAATTTATGTGTCTAGACACGTGTCAGTGGATATCGGACAATGTAAAATTGCATAAAAAGGATGCGAGGATCGAATTACATAGGGTCACTCAATACCTACTAAAAGTCAGAGGTCAACAAAGGCAATTTGACAAACCTTCCTGGGTAGGCATAAAAGAGACTCCCAAAACTACAGGATACTTAAAAATTGTAAATTTAAATTTACTGGTTCATTTATTTTATTTTTTTTTAAAAGATCTATGCAAAATGTTCTTCCAAAAATTGAAAGTGAAATACATATATGCGCAATTTTCTTGTCGTTTATATGTTGTGGCAGTTTATATTTCTTATAAAATCGTATTCTCTAATTAATTCTAAAAATAAATTTCATATTAAATTCAAATGACAGTTTGGTATCTATTTGATATTATTATATTATCTTTTAATTTTGATCAAGATTGACAAAAATAATTCAATAATTTAAACATGGAATTAGATTTAGTTACGCTTCTTCATCTAATCTCAATTTTTTATTATATCTTTAATTAAGAGTAAAACTTCGTGTGATTTTGCTTTTATAAAGAGTTTCTTTAATTACCCTATCACACTTTTGATTAATATAAATATGTTTTATAAGTATAACAAAACATATTGTATTGTACAGGGTATCGCCTCTCATACGCCGCGGAGGCTTCAAGGAGAACGACATTTTGTATAGAAATGAAATTTTGTGAGCATATGTAGGTTAATTCAGAGCACTTTTTAAAAATATATAGAGTTCTACAGGGTTACCCTGTCCCCAATAAAAGTTACATATCAAAGTTGTGTTTTTTGTAATGAAACACCCTATATATTAATTGATTTTCGGATTCGGGAAGTAAAATAACTGTGAGTTTTATAAGAGAAGTATATGACTAAAATGTAAGGTTTTTGACATATTTAACATTTTCTAGAAATAAAGAACAATTTGTAAATTACAATAAAATCAACCTGAATTGGAATTTAACCGGTATAGCCTAATATGTAGTTAAATTAACTATTGTACTTTAAATCAAATTAAAACTTGATCCAAAAAGTTATACAGGGTGAGACAAAATTAATATTGAACATTGGTCACATTTAAAAGCATGTTACTCTTTTATTTTAAATGGAACATCCAGTATATTATTCCGATATTCAATGCAGAATTAATGTATCTTCAAAATACTATTAAGGTTGCCTACCCCTCAAACAAAGATTTCCCTAGATATTTTCATTTACATGATTTGATCTGAATAGATCTTTATTATTTAATAAAATCTAGGTAGCTGTGATATGTCTGACGTTATTTCAACATAACCGTCTAATTAGTCCAACTTTTACAACTAGTTATCATGTTGCGTCAGTTAAAACAAAAATAAATCTCAGAAATTTGCCGAAAATGCAAACTTATCCTACATCAGAGAGAATTGATATGATTCTATTAGTTGGTGAATGCAGTGTGCATTCACCAATTAATATAATACTTAAATGCTCCTGATTTTATCTAGTCTGGTTTTTTTTATGGGGATATGTTAAAGACAGTGTTTACAAAATTCGACCAACTATTGTCGACAACATGAGAAAAATTATTGTAGTTGCTTTTCGAGTCAGAACACCACATATGCCTTTCAAAATAAAAAGATTCTTTTGAAAAGAGAATCATTTTATGCAGTTAACAGGAAAGGAAGCATTTTGAGCATTTGATTTCATCTAGCTAATTTTTGTCACACAATTATAGGTTTACTAGCGTGTACCAGCGACTTCGGTCGCGTCGAATTAATCATTTGTAATGGTGATGATAAAACAAAGCAAGAATTTCCATTAACATACAAACTGGCTACAATTTTCTCACATTTATGTCAGCATGAGAAAAAACGATATGGTGATATTATTATATAACTTGGTAATATTTGAGGGGTAGTTTCATCTCGTTGGAATTTGACTTTCGAAAAATCCGTTTGCCAAAAATAAGCTTTTTACGTCAAGCAGTTTAAGCAGAATCGTGGTTAAGAATTAACCAACTTTTTGGAACACCCTGTATGATTTTTTAAAAAATTTCAAAATATGTAAAAAAAAAACAAATAAATTATGCTTGTCCAAGCGTTTTCCCGAAAGACTAACCGTTTTTTAAATAACAAATATTATTATATTTGAGGGGCGTTTTTACCCTCTTGGAATTTGAGATTCAAGAAACCTTATCGAACCTCTACACCCCACAGTCAATCCGTTTGCCAAAAATCAGCTTTAAACGTCAAGCAGTTTAAGCAGAATCGTCATTACTCAATGGTCATATTTTATGATACACCCTGTATAAATTTATAAAAAATCTTAAAATATGTAAAACAACAAAATAAAATACACGTGTTTAAGAGTTTTTCCGAAAAACTCACCGGTTTTAAATAAAAATATTTTAATATTTGATGGATAGTTTCACCCCCTTAGAATTCGAGTTTCGAAAAATCTCTTCTTATCGAACCACTACACCCTAAAGTCAATCTGTTTTCCAAAAATCAGTTTTTTACGTCAAGCGCTTTAAGCAGGATCGTGATTAATCAATTACCAGATTTTTCGAAACACCTTGTATACATTTTTAAAAATCTTAAAATATGTAAAAAAAACAAAATAAAATATACGTGTTTAAGCGTTTTTTTCGGAAACTTGACCGTTTTTTAAATAAAAAATAATGTATTATTTGAGGGGCGGTTTCACCCTCTTGGAACTGGAATTTCGAAAAATCCCTTATTATCGAACCTCTACACACTAGAATCAACCTGTATGCCAAAATTGAGCTTCTTACGTTGAGTGGTTTGAGCAGGATCGTGATTAATCAGTATGTCAGTCACTTAAGGATTTTATATATTAGTATAGATATCTAGTTTTAATTCTCTAATAATTAAAATATTTTTAAACGTGTATCTTTTTATTACCGTTGAGCATTTTACTCTACAGTCTTTAATTTTTGTTAAATTAACAAAAGGTGTATCACACAGCCACCCTAGATTTTTTCAAATAATAAAGATCTACTGACGCAAAATCATAAAAATTAAAATATTTAGGAAAATCTTTATCTGAGGGGTAGGCAACCTTAATAATATTTTGAAGATATATAAATTCTCCATTGAACACCGGAAAAATATACTGGGTGTACTATTTAAAACTAACTAGTAACTTCCTTTTAAAACTGACTATGTTCCATATTAATTTTGTCTCACCCTGTATAACTTTTCGAGTCAAATTTCAATTTGGTTTAGCATACAATGGTTACTGTAATTAAATATCAGGCTATACAAAGTCAACTAAAATTTAGGTAGCTGTTATCGAAATTTAAAATTTACTCTTCATTGTCACAAAATGTGAAATGTGTTAAAATCGTTAACTGTGGAATACTTTAACAAAGCCAGGAATTTAAAAATCATTTTATCATCTAGATATGTCTTTTCTCGCTAGTTTGCTTTTTGATTCATCTCAATAACTTTATTTCTTTTGGAGATATTCGCTTTTGAAGAAAACATTTTTTTGTATTTTTCATTAAAACCATGCCTTTGTTTTTGGCCCTAGTCAACAGACCTATAAAATAGGGTTTCTGATTTATATAATGTTACTGTCTTCGAAAAATCATATTATTATTGTTTGTTGGGCAGTTACTTTAGCTGAGATGGTTTTAAGTCCAAAAGTTAATCCCTACCATGATCAATTAAAGCAGCAATAGCCGATATTTCAGAACATAAAATCATCTCACTTACACAATAAACAATAATAATATGACTTATTAATGACAGTACCATTATGCAATGTTAAAACTGCTGTAAATCGTTCTCGCGAATATCTCCAACAAAAATAATGCTATTGAGATGAAACAAACTATCGAAAAAAGACGTACCTAGATGATAAGATAATTTTTAAATTTCTTGCTTTTTTAACATATTTTTCATGGTGTTTGAAACTCTCACCAAAATATCAACATTTTGTATTCCCTCATATAATTGACAGATGGAAACTTTTAATTTAGAAACAGATAAACTCATAAAGCCTACTAGAAAAAAATATATTAAACTTTAAAATAGATCAAAATTTTAAGGTGCCCGTTTTTCGTGCCGGTGAGTGTATTTAAATAGGAATACATACAGGGTGAGTTTCCTACGATGTTCTCTATGAGTATCTCGGAAACTACTGGAGATAGAAAGTCGGTTCAATGGGGAAAGAATTGCAGTTTTGTGGGGTCATAAATATGCGCCTTTCAGATTTTTGAAAAAGTTCATAACCTACTAGATATTTCGAAAACAACAA